GCGCACTTGACAGCGTCCTGCCCCCGCTGCCCCGGCGGGCTGGCCCCGCCACCGCGCTCGGCGGGGCACGGACCGGCCCGCGGGGGCGCTCGGTGCGCGGTGCCTCCGCGCTCCCACCGCGGCTCGGAGTTGCCTCCGCAAATCTTTGGGGAGTTGGGATGTCTTGGCGAAGCAACCCTCCTCGCTTCTCGGCTGGGCGGTCGGAAAGCGGGGCGGCGGGGGCTCTGCCGGTGCGCCTCGGCGCTCGTGCAGGAGAGGGAGCGAGGAGGAGAGGCAGGGAAGCAGACTTGGGTGAAATGAATGACTCGGGACTGCCGGTCGCTGATTTTGGGCAGGAAGTCCGGAGATCTGTTTTGCATATGACAGGCTTTCGCTTTTCAAAGTGGCAAAGAGAGTTGATTGTGATTCCATCTTGAGAGCGGGCACGAGCCGCCGAGGGCTGTGCGGACGGGGTCTGACCCCAGCTTGAGAGAGGGAGGGGGCAGGTACTTCTGCTGCGGAGGTATTCCGGGGTTCCCGATCTGGAAATAAGGCTGATTTCTGAGGGGCACCGCGGGAACCGGTTGTAGTCTTCTGGATCGCGTCCTTTATTTTCCTTGTGGTCTGCAGCGCACGCCGCTAATCCCCGAAGGCATTAGGGAGAGTGGGATTTGGCACCGTATGTGGGGAGCGGAGCTATCTTAACCTTTTTCAAACGACTTCCTTGCTAACGGGGGCAGCGCTCTTGCTAGTAAAGCAGGGAAGCAGAGTACCTGGCGGTGACGCTTCGCTTGCACTTTCTGGCTGCGCTGAGTGGGTGTTTTTATACCTTTGAGTTTTGTGAGATGAAATTAGGGCTGCGAGGTTTTTTCTTTTTCTTTTATTTTTTTCCCCCCCGATTCGAGTCTCTCCGGCTGGAGTTGGAAAAACACTTGAATGTTTTTCCAGGGATTTCTGCCGCTGTCTCTGCGATCCGAAGAAAAGGAAAAGCCTCGAGCTGGCAAGGGGTGCTGACATGTTTATCAGCTCTCCTGCTCCGTCCTGGCAGAAAAACCTTTGCTTTCATTTACTCGCCCTCTCAGATATAAAAATCCGCGGCGAGAGGGGAGCGCAGTTGCAGGGGGTTAATCAAAGAAGTCCGAGTGTCCTCGTGGGTGGGTGGCGAGGGACTGAGCGCGCTCTGAAAACCGCGCGGCAGAGGCAGCGTTCCCCCCCCGTTCCACAGCAGGTTTGACGCTTGTGCAGGCGACAGCGATTTCTCCCCGTGCTCCTCCCGGCCGCCGGGCGGGACCGCTCGGCTTTGCACCTGGGCACGGAGCGCCGCGGATGTGCGCGCCGTTCGCCGCTGCTGCCGGCAGCGGGGAAGCCCGGGCTCGGTGGCCTCTGGGGACGGCGCGGGGGAGGCGGGGAGCTCCCAGGAGCGGCCACGGCCCCCGCCCCGCCGGCGGACGGGACCTTGCCGCCTCGCCTCGCACTTCGGGGCACCGTGGGGCTCCCGGCAGCCGCGGCAGATCCTGCCGAAGGGCTGCTCGTGCCGAAATGAATCGGGGCCCGATCCCGCTGCTGCTAAAGTCGGGAAGGACAGGATGAGGCCGTTTATAATTAGCTCCCTTCTCCTCCCCTCGCCCCTGGGGGGTGTGAGAGGAGGAAACAATAGACATCAAGTGCTGGTTTCGCTTTTCTCTGTGTGCTTTTTAAATTACTAAGGCTATGTGGAGGAAGCAGAATTGGTACTGGCTGTCTGACACCATCTATAATTTTGTTGACAACTTGTTTAATAAAACATTTTATAATTTTCACTTATTCTTTAAAGTTGCTGATCGGGAAACAATACACACGTAAATAAATTATGCATGGGATAAATTAGGACAAAAGCAGTAGGACACATAATAGGGGAGGGATGCAGTGCACAGTGTTTTATCCTCATGTGTCCTTCCTGACAATGAACGGGAGCTGAATGACATTTGCATTTCCTCTGTCTGCGTTTTGATTGTATCTCAGAACCCACAAACGCCCCCTACAGAAACCGGCCACACAAAGGTTTTGCTCCGAAATGGGGGACAATGTAGGGACTGAGAGATCCGGGCTCAGGTATCAAGCAGCTCCTTGTGTGTGCTTGTGCGTTTAAGAGTGTCCAATATTCAGTTTGTCTCTGGCACTTGGACACACAAGTGGCCTTGTTCATGTTAGACTAGTCTTCCTGAATAATGTATTCCAGTACCTGAGCATCTGTGGGAATGCATTTCATAGAACAGCTCAGTGTGTGGAGTCCTTTATTAATGATTGGTTTCTCCCTACTCAACTTGCCTCTTTCTCTGTCACTTTCTGGTTCTCTTTTGTTGCTTTCTTCCCTTTGCTCTTCTCCCCTTCACTTCCTCTGGTGAACCAGTCAACCTGACATGACTGTCTGTTATTTCTGCCATTTATTAGCTTGTTTACCAACACGGTGCTACAGACAAAAATATCCGAGATCTAAGTTTAACAGATCTGCAAGGTAAAGGTAGCAGGTGTTTGGACAAGCACATGCTTCTTCATCTGTAGAAATGGCAGTATTCTGACAGCTTTGATGGGACAAAAGTAGATTCGAAGTGCTGAAGTTGGTGTTGATGCATTTTTCCCCCACTAGTTTGTGTGTATATCTCCATATTTTTTGTTTCCGTCTTCTTCTCCTTTGGATATTTTAATATGAAGACATTTGAGTGGTGCAAGACATCACTCAAATGAAAGAAGAAACAAATGCATTTAGAAAGTATTCTGAATTACTTCAAATGTCAGTCAGAAATCTCAGTGGACTTTGTAAACATTAATTAATTAAACCTCTCAACGCCCCTGTGAAGTAAGGATTATTGCCTTTGTTTTATAGATGGCTAAACTAGGACAGAGTGGTTCAGAATCTCTCTAAAAGATGAAGTCTAGAATGCAGGCATTCAACTTCCAGCTTTAGCATTTAGTCCCATCTCCTCCATCTCTTCCTTATTAGTGATGTGCATATGGTACCATAATGCACTTAATGTAATTAAGACCTTGTAATTTACACAGTCTTGTCTAGAAGCAGAGCTGGTTTCCTCCCACCCCTTCTCTGTCTTTACTCCCACGAATGACTTTTATTTCAGGTTTTCAATTAAACACAGTAAGTGGAGCATAGGTTAGGTTGTTGCCATTTTGGCGTGTGAGGTTTCCCCCCTGCCATACAGCGCTCTGCCTGGACACTCACCAGAGGGCTGTTGCCTCCCAGGAATTTCGCAGTGCCGGTGCTCTCCCTTTAGCTCAGGGAAGCCTCTGGGACAAAAGAAGGTAACTCAGGCTCAGCTGCTAGGCTAGCTCACTTCTGTACCAACTGCATTGTTGGATAACTTTGGCATACTTGGGATCACTTATTCTCTGCCAGGTATTTGGGGAGCAGATCATCACAGATTTGTGTGCACAGTGCTAGATCTACAACACAGAGCTGATCTACCAGGCCTGTTCTGTCTCTGCTTTCCCATTGCAAACAGCAGCAGTTGGGTTTTCAATTGCTGTACCTTCTCAGATAAAATTGCCTTGACAGCCAACTCTGACCTTTGGGCTGCAAATGACCTTCCTTGTGGTGATGAATTCATGTCATGAGACACCTGTGAAGAAGTGGTCTGTGTTTGCATTCCTGTTTCACATTGGCAAGAGTCCAGTGTGGGTCTTGGGGTCTTGTATGGCAAGAGTATTTCATTAGTGATTACTCTGGCTTGAACTCAGGCTGGAGACTCTTAACTGGAAGGTCCTGTATCCCATTACACATCCCTGAAACAGCCCTATGTCCTGATTAAGTGCTGATGAAGACTGATTTTTTTTAATGGACATTGTTGCATAAGCATCTGGTTGCTGATTTTTAATATTAAAGTGAAAGTGTAATGTGCAGTGCTGCTTTCAGCAGGTGGAAGCAATAAAATAGACAGACAGTTAGGTTGCCAGTTCAGTGTTTACAAGTGATGTGGAGGTGATTTTAATGTGGCCTTGCAAAAGGGAATTTTCTTTTGCTTAACAGAACAGGGTTTGTTTGGCACATTAAACCGTGTACCAAAATCTCCACAGCAATTCCAGTGTGGCTCTGATGTTACTTAAAAACATAAATGAGCCCTAATGCGACACACTTCAAATGAAAAACTGTTGTCCACATGAAAACTGTATTTTCTAATATCTCAGCAGCAGCTTTCAGAGAAAATGGGATGAATGTTACTGTGTTTACATGAGGAAATGTAAGCATAAAACCAAAGTCATTGGAAGGCAGAAAAGGAAAGTTAAGAAGAGCTGAGAATACACTGGTTTTGAAAATGAGAGGCTCTGATAAATGGCATGTTGCTTGTTACAGTGTTATGTCTGATTCCACCAGTCACTTATGCATGATTAGTTGTTGCAGTGCTTTTGTAATTTTGTTTTGTTGGTCTTTCAGTCTTTCACAGTCTGTCTAGATGTGTGGATGGATGGAGGTTGTATCTCAAAATTGCCACTGAAGAAAAAGTTTTTAAAACATATTATTTCTGGTGTGTGAAAGCAATATTGAACCATCTGGGTTGTGCTACAGAGGCCTAAAGGTATGATGTTTTGGAGGGTGTTATAATTTCAAGGTAAGCACTTGTCCAATGGGCTGGATGCATGATACCCATTAGATAGGATTCACAGTGTCCGAGTGGGAATACTTTAGGCGGAAGTCAGGTACGCAGAACAAAGTGGGGATCTGTGTCATTCTGAGTCATGGGGAAGGTCGTGTGGCTCATCCTTTGTGGAGCC